TCCCTCTTCTTGAAGAAGATAAGGCATGGTCTCACCATGAGAATGCCATATATTTTTTAGATGATTTCATTTCTTTGGCTACATACTCAGAAGTGGGATTGCTAGATCATTTGGTAATTCCATTTTTAGTTTTTTGAGGAGTCTTCATACAATTTTCCAAATTTTCCTCACAACATTTGCGAGGACAAATGTTGTATCCTCACATGACAGAAGACGGAGGGGCAAAAAAGGGCCTAGATCTAGATTCCTCCAGCTCTTTTATAAGACTCTAATCCTTTCATGAGAGACTTAATCACTTTCCAGAAGGCACCATCTCTTAAGTTTCAGCATGAAGTTGGGAGGGGATACAAGGAAACCATAGCAACGTCCTTTGCCCATTTTTTTATTTGCTTTATTTTCTTGCTATTATGTTGTTTGAGTTTCTTAAATACTTTGGATATTAGCCCCTTATCTGAAAAAGTGAAATCTTCAGTGACATCTAAAACTTGCCTTTTAGTTAAAATATTATTGTATATATTATGATAGGTCTTAATGATTTAAATCTATTGGCATGTAACTACAACAACTTTTCTTGTATCTAGTATTTTCAGTTTAAGTTTTTTTAATTGTCACTTCCTAACTTAAAAAACAATTTTATGAGTTTGTGCTATTTCCTGTCTCCATGCCCTTTCTTTACATGATCAGATATAGTAATTTTCTGCCATCTCTGAAATCTCTTTTGCTAGTATTGCCTTCTAAAAACAGTAAGTATGCATCCCTACAGAACTGTAAAAAGAAAGACGAAAGGGAAGGGGAAAAAAACGAATTCCTACTTAGTCTTTCTTCATGTCCATTACAAATGTAACTGTCCTGAGTCTGAGAGTGTGACATCTCCATGGCCGCAGCCTCTGTCCCACTTTGTTTTGACCATTGGTTTTTTTGTGTTGAGTGTGTGAGGAAAATAGTTAACTTTCTTACCATGGGATTCTAGCCCTGGAATAATTTGCATGATCAGGCTACGTCTGTAAGAGCCACTTGACATTTATATTTCACTGTTCAAAATGGACAGTTTTAAGGAGATGTGATTTTAAAATGCTTTATTTTGAGATGACTTTATTGACTCCTGCTCTGTGAAGGCAGTGAAATAGCAGTGGAGCATTGCACATTGAACATCAGGACTTCTTTTGTTAGTTCCTTCATAAAAATTTAGCCTAAACGACCAGCCCTTTATGCTCCAGGTTGATAAAACATAGCTTGGTAACAGTGAACAAGCCCTGGCAAGCCCTGGTATTGGGAGGAAGGTGAAAAATATAAGACGTTGTGTATATTGTCATTCTAGCCCGTACTCCTCGTTAAAATAAGTAGAAATTGGGATTTATTCAACAGAAAAAGAGACATTTGAATATTCAAGATTTAAAGCCTAAATCTAAAGCTTTTGGAAGAAGAAAACATCTAAAAGTATATTTGCATAGACCCAAAGTGCAAAAGTAGAAAAATTTGTAAATTCTTTTACCAAATTACATAAAGTCTTATTTTTTTAAAGTATTTGGATTCTAATCATTTTCTTAGTCAAAAATATAAAGAGTTTGGTTTCTTGACATATAAATAACTGTAATGATACAAATCTATCTTTTAAAAGGCAAACAACGCAATAGAAAAATGGGTCCAGTAATTCACAGAAGAGGAAACCAAGTAAACCTGTGAACAAAATCTCATCCTCGCTCATATCCAGGGAAACATAAATTCAAATCACAGTGGCTTATCATTTTTTACCTCTGAAATTAGCAAAAATTTACAAGTATAATATATTTTGACAAGGATGCTAAACAAAGAGAACTTTCAGACCTGCTGTGGAAACGTAAACAGATAAAAACACTTCAGAAAACAGTCATCTTAAAGATGTGCATATTCTAAAACCCAGAAATGCCAACTCTTGGTGACACACTACACAAAAACTCTTGCTCAGATTCCCTAGAAGATGTGTAAGAATGTCTGTTGCAACATCACTTACTTATAACAGGGAAAGAAAATCCCAAAACAAGAAATCTGACAACAAGCTAAATATCCTTAAACAAAATGGTAATGTGTCCTGCAGTGGGATATTACACAATGATTAAGAGGCAAGCACTAGAGCATACATGTAGACAAATCTGAAAAACATATTGAGTGGAAAAAAGTTAAAAAAGAAAGGCTTTAAATAGTTTTTATATAAAGTATAAAACCTAGAGAATACACTTCTGTTTTTTGGTTTTTGGTTTTGGGGTTTTTTTGAGATGGAGTCTTGCTCTGTTGCCCAGGCTGGAGTGCAGTGAGTGGTACAATCTTGGCTTACTGCAACCTCCACCTTCCAGGTTCAAATAATTCTTTTGCCTCAGCCTCTGGAGTAACTGGGATTACAGGCATGCACCACTATGCCAGGCTAATTTTTGTAGTTTTAGTAGAGACTGGGTTTCACCATGTTGGTCAGGCTGTCTCAAACTCCTGACCTTAGATGATCTGCCTGCCTCAGCCTCCTGAAATGCTAGGATTACAGCCATGAGCTACTGCACCTGGCTACACTTTAGTATTTTTATGATTACATACCTTTGTATGTGAATGACACTGAAAATGAATGAGATGAGCACGTATATACAGGGAGTTTCAATTTATTTCTATTTTATTTCTTAAATTCTTGTGTTAGATATATGTTTTTTACATACCATTCAATATGACTTTATATATCTGAAACTTTTTTTAGAAAAGAAGGAAAATACATCATGCTTTTATTTTTTGAGGTGATCTAGTCACTAAATATTATTTGTCAAAAAGTCTATTAGGTAATTTACATATTGCAGTAAATACACAAAGGAAAATGACTTTATATAAAAACTATTGATATAGTTTTTCTTAGCTCAGGCTGCCATAACAAAATACTATAGATTGGGTGGCTTCAACAGCAGACTTCTATTTTCTCATCATTCTGGAGGCTGGAAGTCCAAAATCAAGGTCCCAGCAGAGTTGATGTATTGTGAGGGCTCTCCCCTAGGGCTGTAAATGGCCGCCACAGCCTCCTCTTGGTCCATGCACACAATGTCTTTTCACATAAGGGCACTAATCCTACTGGATATGTGCCCCACACTTATGACCTCATTTAACCATTATTACTTCTTTTTTTTTTTTTTTTTTTTTTTTTTGAGACGGAGTGTCGCTCTTGTTACCCAGGCTGGAGTGCAATGGCGCCATCTCGGCTCACCGCAACCTCTGCCTCCTGGGTTCAGGCAATTCTCCTGCCTCAGCTTCCTGAGTAGCTGGGATTACAGGCACACGCCACCATGCCCAGCTAATGTTTTGTATTTTTAGTAGAGACGGGGTTTCACCATGTTGACCAGGATGGTCTCGATCTCTTGACCTCGTGATCCACCCGCCTCGGCCTCCCAAAGTGCTGGGATTACAGGCTTGAGCCACCGCGCCCGGCTATTATTACTTCTTTAGGGACCCATTTTCAAGTACAGCTACACTGGAGGTTAAGGCTTCAACATTAATGTTGAGTGGACACATTCAATACACAACATAGTTGATAGTCTCCTTGGGTAAAGTTAATAGATGAGTAAGAAGTTGTAAATAAAAGCTACCAGAAACATTTTTGACATTCATCATTATCAGTATACAAATAATAGGTTTGGAGATGTAGACTCCTTTCTGAAATCTCACCATAGGTTTCTTTTTTCCTGGGACTTCTCAGAGTGTTTTATTTTGTTTTCTTATAGTTGACATTTAGAAATGAACCTTGTCATTTTTAGATCACTCCACGTGTTCATGCCACCTTTCTTGTTCATTTTTCCATTCATGTACTCCGCTATTTATTTGCCATTGTTTTCTTCTATTTTGATGTTTTTGACTTGGATTTTGTTGTTGCTGTTTGGCTTTTAATATGTACCTTATTACAAAAGTCCCTAAGATAGTTATGATATGTGATGCTTATAATTTCTGGACATCTTCTTTAAATTTACAATAATGTTATATAACCTTAATTTAGTGCCCATAGTTTTTCATTTTCTGGTTTTTAAAAAAAAACTTCACCTCATTCTACAAGATTTAGGTATTCAGAAATTATGTTGATGTTATATAAAATACATTTATTATCTAATTTAATCAGATCTGTTTCATTTGCCTTCACCCCTTTATCCTATTGTATGTGTGAAGTTTGGATAATTTGCATTTGAAAATAGAACAGTAAGGAGTCATACATTTTCAAGAATGCAAGAGAATTTCAAGAATGTTTTTTAAATGCTGCCAGAAGGTTCAGTAGCATATCTTTTTAGGTAGCCTATTGCTAAGGTGACATAAATGGTAAGATCAACCTTATTGCATTGGTACCTGGTACCTATAATAATGCTATTAAGGCAATAATTGCTGAATAGGTAGACACATTTTCACTGAAGGGCTGCTTTGAGTCAATAAAGTTGAAGGAACTAACAACCTCTGCTGCTTTGGAGAGAAAAAAGCGAGATAGCTGCATTTTTTAGAATACCATCTGATAAGCTTCAGAGAAGAAATATTTCTTGGTAGCACTGCTTCTTTCAAAAAAGAAAAAAAAATATGCAGATAGAAGATGTCAGTTCATTCACTGAATGGATGGAAAAACTGGCAGCACTGCTGAGTGGGCATGAAATGGTGAAGCTAAGGTATGCAGCTGTCATGATAGGAGCTTAACTGTTCAGCTGGTAAAGTACCTGTCAGGGTATCTCTTAAGGCCTGGTCCCAACTCACGGGCAGTTACACGTGATAAAGAGCTCTGAAGCTATGTGATGTTATGACAAGAGACCTGATTAAAGAAGTTGGCCTTGGTTGCCATCCTGGGAAGGAATATATGAAATATGTGAACACAGGCACGAGAAAGCTGGAAGGATGTAGCAGCAGAGGCATATTGGGCTGTTTTAATGAATTAAAGTCATTCAACATAAGGGATTGTTTTAAAGTATGCTATGCTTTGTTATTGACTTGTCTTTTTGAACACTAAATGGCTTCACAATTTCCTGCAGGAGGAGCAGCTGAAGTCACATGAAAATAAGCTGAAGCAGATCACCACCGAGCTGGCCGAGCACCGCTCCTATCCCCCTGACAAGAAGGTCAAAGCCAAGGATGTCGATGAGTACAAACTGAAAGACCACTATCTGGAGTTTGAGGTGTGTTTCCTCTAAATGTGAATAGATGTCGATTACTGAGTTATCTTATGATTTGTCCATGAGGCGGTATTTTTATTTGCAGCTACTGTCACTGTGAGAGGTTTATCTTGGCCCTGGCTCTAATTTGGGAGCTCCTGGCAAGGTCTAGGTCAAGGTGACCCCTCTTGTTTGTAATTCTATTTAAGGGCCAAACAAACATCAAAGAGTAACTGTCAGTTTATACACTTAAAAGCAAATAGCCTGCCTGGAATAGTGTGCGCCCGCTGTGAGGGGAAGAAAAAGAAAGAACAGGAGAGGGACATGCCAGGGTAGACAGCTGCTTTCTGTATCCCTGTGTCTCTTCCGGCAGAATTGGAGTCAAAAAAAGCAAAAGGGAGGAAATGAGCCACAGGGTGAGGTAAGGCATCAGCTTTTTCCTGCACATTATTGCTGTTCGGTATCACCAGTGTGTTTTTCTTCTTGCCACCCACTGCCCTTCAGAAGCGGGTTGATAAATTAAGTTGTGACACATCCATCTATATAGTCAGTGTGCTTATTAAAAAAAATGGTGAGGATCCATATGCTCTGGCATGGAAAAGTGTAAAATTTAAGCACAAGTTGAAAACAGTGTATTTCTAGATATTTCCTTTGGCTCAGTTTTCTTCCAAATTAATGTCAGGGTTATACGGGGGTCCCCTGACTCCCTTGGCCTGTACCTTCAGATATTGAAAGTGCCTTTTTAAGTAGGTAGCATGCAATCTAACATAAAAAGAATTAATTATTTTGACTAATTTGACCTTTGTTTTGTTTTTTTCTGTTGGGTGTGCTGAATCTGTCTTTAGCTGTTCTTAAGTTCATTGTAGCTCTGGTCCCTTTTACTTCTTATTGTTCCTATCCTTCATTTCCATCTTACTATCTGATTTCCTCCTCAGCCTTGAAATTTCAAATCTTCTAAGTGTCCAAATCCTAGCGACCTGTCTCTGCGGCATCTCACACCTGTCCCTTCCTTGCGTTGCTTTATAAATACTTCCTCTTCTGTGCCCTGGCTTTCTCCTCTCTCACTTCTCTCTCCTTTCCTCAGTTCATCCTGAGTCCTTTGGCTAGCTATTTTTCTGAAGCTCAACCCAAGATGATGACATTTCTCTGTTCAACAGCTGCCTGTGGTTTCCCCCTACTCCCATGATGCAATTATTTCCTAAAGAAAGTCTCACTTCTTCCATGAGAGAGGATTTGGCATCTCTACCTTTAGACAACCTCTGTCTTTCCCAGACCGGCCTCCCTATGTTAGTCACATTTCTGCCCACTTCCCCAAACACATGTTTATACCTTTGTTCACCTTCTTTCTTCTGCCTCAGATTTTCTTACCATCATCTTCATTTCTGAAAATCCTTTTCATCTTTTGAGGATACAGCCATGAAAAGCCTGCTTTAGATCTACTAGCTGGGAATCATCTGTTATAGTACTTGCCACAATCTTCATTATGCTGAAGTTATTTTCTTCTGTCTTTGTACCTGTAGTGGATTGCATAATACCTCCCCTTACCCAACACTGTAAACTGAAGTTCATTTCCAGCCTTTGCTCTATGTGCACTTACTGAATGGGATAAAATTTCATGGAAGCCTTAAAAAGTCTCTGAGTTATAATATTTCTATTATCAAATGTAGCATTTGATTCAAAAAATGGCACTTCCACTACAGATCCATGTACTACTTTCTTGATGATCAAGCCAATCCTTGCCCTGGGCAGAGAACTATACTAAGAGAAATATTTATTTTGGTAAAGGTAAATGTTTCTTAGCAAAAACTGCAGAAGCCTTAACAGCAAAAAAAAAAAAAAAAACTTGAAAAAATATATATTTTTAAAAACCCAACAACAAAAAACTAAGCAGCTCATCTTTCCCCAGGCTTGTTCATTCTTGGAAAATGGGAGTTCTCAAAAAGCAATCATTATTTTTCACACTTCTGGAGTGGCTTTAAGCCATAGGCCTATTTGGTTTCACACATGCTAATTAAATTTCCCAACACCTCAGTCCCTGCTTCTAGCACTGAGCACCTCTCTGGAGCCCTTGATGCCCAAGCAGGAAGAGCCTTTCCCCAGGAGGTGGGGGGCGGTTGCGAGGCCATGGAAAGGTTCCCGTTGCTAGGAGCCCTCCCTGCTTTTGAGTCTACAGCGCTGCCTCTTTTCAGAAACTGTAATCCATCAGGAACCAGCATTTTCAATTCCTAATATGAAGTTAGACCAGGCTTTGCAGAGATTAAGTCTTGCTTTCATCAAATCGTCACTTCAGTGAGCTTGCAGACTGCGTTCCAGCACTCATTAAAATCAGACCATATGGTAATACGTCAAGCAGGTTGACTTGTCTGTCAAGCTCCTTCACCTGTGTCTATCAGAAGGACGCAAGAATACCTGACTTGGTACAGCTGATATTTATGTCATGAACAGGGAAAATTTTCAGCTGTTATTTACAAAGGGTTTTATAATAGTAGTGCTTTTTAAAAAGTGAACAGTTGTTTTTCACTAACTTAACATTGAAGTCATATATCATATAGAGTTCACTTTGCTCTTATTGTAGCCACCAGAATTCGTCTCTTGTGAGTGCTTGCGGGGAGTCTTTGCACAGCATCCTTTCCCTCATAAGCAACTTTCCCTGAGCAGACCCAGGTGAGAACAGACAGCAGTGTCTGCATTTCAGTGGGAGCCCACAGATGGGCAGTGACAGGAAAACGGGCTTTAATCACCAGGGAAGATCACAGGCATGAATGAGTGCTCTCACCTACTCCTGTGGTTGGTCCTCATCAACAGAGACTTCCTTGGTTTCAAAGCAATTCTTACAATTTTTACAAGTCTTGATAAGGAAAATCACTTTTATTTTGACAGAATATTAAGCTATTAGTAATAACACCAGGAGTGTTCCTAATTTTATGCATTTCAGTCATTTAAATCTCAGGTTGGTTTGAGTACAACAATGCTTCATGGCGACCCAAGTTTACTGCTCTTTCTGTGCCTCAGAAATTGTCCAACCTCTGACTGACAGTAAAGGATTAGAAATTCTGGTAAATACATAGGTTTAGGGTTTTAAAAAAATCTACTACAAGGACACGTGCACACAAATGTTCATTGCAGCACTGTTTACAATAGCAAAGACCTGGAACCAACCCAAATGCCCAACGATGATAGACTGGATAGGGAAAATGTGGTACATATACACCATGGAATATTATGCAGCCATCAAAAACGATGAGTTCACGTCCTTTGTAGGGACATGGATGAACCTGGAAACCATCATTCTCAGCAAACTGACACAAGAGCAGAAAATCAAACATCGTATATTCTCGCTCATAGGCGGGTGTTGAACAATGAGAACACATGGACACAGGGAGGGGAGCACTACACACTGGAGTCCGTTGGGGGGAAATGGGGGAGGGGCGGGGGGTGGGGAGGTGGGAAGAGGTAGCATGGGGAGAAATGACAGATACAGGTGAGGGGACGGAAGGCAGCAAAGCACACTGCCATGTGTGTACCTATGCAACAATCTTGCATGTTCATCACATGTACCCCAAAACCTAAAATGCAATTAAAAAAAAAAAACCTAAAAAAAAAAAAAAAATCTACAGAGAGCAAGGAAACTGCTATCTTAGCCTGTTAGAAAAAGATTCTCTTTTACTTAAAGCAGTAGACTTCACTCAGAATGGGCTCTCTTCATTGACTTAACTCTAAGGGAAGGGATGTTTTGGTTTTGATTGAATTGGTACCCTCCAAGCTATGGCCTGGAATCTAATTTTACTTCTAAAACAGCTGTTAAGCATAAGTCTACATTGAGAAACTCACCATCATTTTACAGTTTTAAGAAATAAATACCAGAAATAGCCACATTTCCTTATAAATTTACTTTTTTTCCATTGCATTCAGTTCTCATTTTACTTAAAAATATTTAATTGGTCCCTGTGCTTCTGGTACATTAGGAAGCAGATCAAGTTCTGGGGCAGATGGATGTTTTGTGTCAGATACAAAAATTTACAAGGCTCCCAACAAAGCACAGTTGATTGAGCTGTTCTGGAAAACACCTGGGCCCCTTAAGACACAACACCATTAAAGAAATTCCCTTGACAGCAATGCAGTTGGCTCTAATGTTTTGGTTTTATGTTTCTTCAGCTTTAAAATCAACAAAACTAGAAGGATGTTTCAAGATATTTTGGATGCAACAGTTAAGAAGTTACAAATGCAACATTTAAGATGATTACAGATGTTAGCATAATCCTTAAGTTGAGCTGGACCTGAGTAGGGAGAGGGAGAAGATACAGCAGCCCAAGCCTATTAAAACCATGACTGGACTGCAAGAAATTTACTACAGAGGAATTGCTCAAGGTCAGGTTAATAGCTGGCTTTCAGGTCATTGTAAAGCCAGGTAGAAAACCTCTGGACACAATGCCAATGAATTTGATGTGGCCAGCCCACCTAATGTCAACTTGTTTTCTTTGGCCCACATAATGTTGTATTTGTTTTAATTGTAATTTAAATGCATTTAGGAAAGACAGGCCTTGTCCTTCTCACCATTCCCTGTTATTAATGTATCACATCTGATAGCTTTCTACAGTTTGTGTCATTGCTCTAGTCCCTGAAGGCTTTTGAGTTTGTAAATCCTGTAGTAGAGGCTGCAGCCAGTTTTATATGCTTTATTAGTTAGATCTTTAAACATAGGCTTGGAATTCATAGTCCCTTCATGCTTAGAACAAAGATACTTCCGGGTATATGTGTTTTCAGGTTCCAATCCAGCAGGAAAAGAGAGAATGTCCACTACCCTCATGACTGAAACCAAAGACTTAGAATAAAGGTCACTTGACTTAATGGGCTTGAATTCAGCTGAATACCCACTCCTGAATTGTGACCCAGAGTAGCATATGCTTATGGCTTAATACAGTTATGGCCCACACCAACCACATGGCTAGGAAATTCAATTTTAGAAACAGCAAATGTCCACTATAATATAACTTATAAATTTCTTGGGACAGAATATTTTCTTA